CAGCTCTGAAAGATCCTGGCATTACCTCCGCTACGCCGCTAACGGCAGCCCTGGCTCACACTGGCTCCAGGGACAGGTTGGGTAAGTGGTGTTACAGCCTCAGTGCAGCTGTGTCTGCAGCTGCAGCCCTGCTGAAGTGAGCCTGACTGCCCCGCACTAGCAAGGGTCACTCGACACCCTTGGTTCACCAGTGAGGGGAAAGATCAAACATGGGGGTTTGTCTGTAGGGTGCTATAACTCTCTGAGGGTGGAATTTCCTCTCAGGAGGCATTTTATCTGTGTGCTCGTCTAAATCCCTTTTTCTCGCTCATTTTGATGTGTTGCAATTATGAAGAATTTAATAAAGAAATAAGTGAGCACACAGGATATTTGTCCCAGGAGGATACATGTCATGTGGGTAGGACAGAGAAATCACACTGCAGACAATTGAAACATCACTGAGCTTTGAAGGTACATCTATTTGCCTGCTAGGCAGAGAAGATACACATCTGAAAAAACTCAAGAACAAAGAAATTCTTGTTTTTTTGGCTTCTGTTAACATGCTTAACATTTCAATAACAATTTTTTTGTTTGATTTTTTTCTAACAGAAGATTATTTTTGTTGTTGTTTGATTTTTTAACAAAGTTGGGCCAAGTAATTTCAGAGTTTTACAGAGAGTGAAATAATTGTTCCACTGGGATTACAGGAATTTTAAGAGCTGCTTAGCAACCGCCAACTAATGGCTTAAGGTCAAGCTGTCTTCAACCACCACTATGGCCAATTATTTTGAAGTTGTTTCTGTTGAGCGCCAAAAATTGGATATCCAGCATGAGGCATAAGTGAGATTTGGGAGGAGTAAAATTCTGCACCAGACTCCAAGCAGACTGGCCTCCAGGCTCTAGGGAGCTGCCGAAGGGCTTGGCACCTTTCTCTCATCCTGCACATATAATCCAAAATAGAAGGAAAAAAAGAAAAGAAACTGACAGACTTTGCTCCTTTGGCAAAGTCCTAACTGTCTGCATACTCTTTTTTTTTTGATATGTCACTGAAAATCAGATTATTACAAAATATTAAAAAGTCAAAGAAATTTTTTTTCACTCTTTGTATGTCTTTTGAGAGTGTTTTCTGTATACCTTTAATTGTCAGAAGTAATATCATGTAAATGCTAACTCCATGCGAAGAAAAAATAAAATTGACCACTGAAAAGTATAGTAAATTGAAAGGATCGCATATTTTTTGTGTTAATAAACAAAGAAACTGTTCTCTTTTCAGTAAGTCTGTTGTCTGATGAGCCATCACTTAGGAAGTTCAAAAATCTGACAGGTTAAGTTGATACAAATTGCATTAAAGCAATTAGAATATTCAAGAGTTTTTAGCACTTGAGCTTCCTGACAAATGGTCTTATAACAAGAATTGGTCAGTTTATCTCCTTTTCTGTCAAGTATTCACCTTCAATGAAAGCTTTGCATGCATTTTAATTTGTCTTAAATTTATTCATAACTAGATTAGCAGTTTCTAGCAATCATTTGTTTTGCTTTTCTGCTTTCAGCCATCTCTTTTTTTATACCACCTGCTGTATTTGCCTTCTGTTCAGAGTATGCATTTGACAGTTACTAATAATGCAGATTAAATTTACTTAGTATGACAGGCAAAACACTGTGTAAAACCAAAACAATAGAATCCCATATTCTTCTTCTCTGTTTAAGTAGTAGCTTAAAAGGCCAAAACAAATTTTTAAGATCATTAATTAATTAACAAAGCTGGTCTCTTATAGGACTTAAAAATGGACTGTGTGGAAAGCTGGCTATGGTAATATAATATTGCAAGGTTTTAACAGCTGTATATATACATCTCAAGAACAAAATACAGTTACAGGTCAATTTTAATTTTTTTGGAGCTCATTAGCATTTGCTACTAATCAATATAGAATTTTTTTATGGAATGAAAATAAATGAAAATTAAGCTTAATTCAGATGTCTTATTTGCCTATTTTTATTATTTATTTGTCATTTCTAAAATATCTGTAATTCCTTCTCATTCATGATTTTTAAAAAAGCTAGAAGAAAACTATTAGATGCCACTTTTTAGATGTAATGATGTGGCCCAGACAGAAGCTGTGTTTATTATGCACTTAAGATGTGTGGTTAGATGATGGCAGAAGCAGTGAGTTTATTAAATAACTGCCCTTTGCACCAGTGGATCATTGACCTACAGCATCCTCCACATGGCAGCCTGGCAAAACTCCTGAATTGTAGCAGTCTGTGCCTTTTCCATGCATTTAACTTGGAAGATGCATGAATTCCAGAGATCGCATAGAAAAAGCTGTAGTGCCTCATACTGCATTATAATAGGATTGTTCCATAATTGGCATTGTTAATGGAAAAAGATTGGGTTGTTGGTTTTTTTGTTTAAATCTAGGTCAAGATAGAATAAGCATGTTAGACATAATTTAGCCCCCAGATGCAAATATAAGGACCCTTTTAAATGGAAATAGGAATAATTTAGAGCATTAGAGAAGAAAAGATGACCTTCAAAAAGAGGAATTTCTGTAGATACATAAAAGGTATGTTATAGAATATGTATACAATAGTGATTCATAAGTAGTCAACTACGCAGAATTTCAAATTAGCTGGAGATTCACTGACTGATGTATAAAAAAAGAAAAAAAAATAAAAAGAAAAAAATGTGAATATAAAATTGGAGCTGTTAAAAAATGTTATTTTTCTTTCCAGCTGGGCCTTTCCCAAAGACTTTCATTAGACCTACAGATTGCAATGCATAATGTTCTGCTGTAACAAGGGAAAGAGGATTTTTTTCACGGTGTCTACATTAGACACCTAATTTGGGAGACAGTTAATTGCCTAGGCTCATTATATATCCAAAGAATAAAAGTAAGCATCTCCAAAGGGCACCTCAGAGCATCTCAATTAGGAGTAATCTACCTCCATTTATTATAGAGAGAACCGAGACTTTAGTTTTATGGATCAGTTTTCTTAACCTGTGCAGGGACCGTGAATCTTACATTGGGTTACCAGAGTTTTTAAGGAGATTTCCAGCAAACAGGTTGTCACCTGCTGAGAAGAAATATCCAGGTTTCTCTCCAACTGTCATTAACAGAGACCTCAGCCAGTACCAAGTAGCTCATTTAATGCATATTGGTGAAGGGACAATAAAAACATCCAGACTTGAATAGAAGCAAGATGGGGCTTTGTTGTTTTTAACTGAGGACAATAGTGCAAAGCATGAAGGCAGAGTCAGTGGAGAACATGGAATGCTAGCAGGGGAAAGGAAGCTGCAATAAGAGGGACTGCAGCAGAGCCCAGGGTGAAGGAAGCCAAGCAGCAGCAGTGACAAAGTGTTTTGGTTACTGCCATAGAGCTTTCAGAGTTTGTGAAAGAGAAATACTAGGAGCATCTGCCACAGTAGGCTACAGCGAGTGAGTGGGTTTGGGATCTCAGAAGCTAGCACGCAAAAGCCAAAAAAAAGAAAAACAAGTGCTGGGAAAGAGCATTCACATCAGAGTTCTGCAATAGCAACCTCCACGCACCATTAAAACAACTGATATAATGCAGTAGTGAGTGTTACAAAGTTACAAAATTCTGACTTAAAAGAAATGGCAAAATGATCATGGCTGCATCTGGTAGTAATAGAGTAAACCTCAATAATTGTGTTCTGGTACATAATTCTAGATTAGAAACTCTTAATTATGTACCTTGTGCATGATGATCCAAAGTAACTGCGTGTACTCACTCTGAAGCATTTACAACAGGAAGATAGAAAAGGAAACTATCAACAATAAATAATTACATATGAGAAAATATTTCAGGGAATACTGGACTTATATGAATAAAAATTATAAGTGACATCAGTAATTATAAAGGAAGTGCTGAATCTGACATATTTAGTGATGACATATCTAAAAAATGTCAGAAATGGTTTCTGATAACATAGGTGGGAGTGACAGAGATGCAGAACAGAAATTGGGAAATAAAAGCACAAAGGACAAAAACAAATGCACCTCCTGAAGCAAACAGATCTGTGAATCTAGGCCTAAGTAATCAATAAAACATAGATTACTGTATATTTAGATAATTAAAAACTTATGTTTACTTGATACCAGGTGATAAAACTTTCTATGACAGTACCTTGGTCTATATGGACAGGTCATTTTGCTTTTGCACCAATGCAGGTAAAAGATTAGAAGGAAACTGAGAGTCCCTCATGTCAAATGAACTGACATAAATGCATGTGCAACCTACATCAGAACATATTCTCATAATCTGTGCTGTATATGTATTCAATAGAGTTTTGCCTTCTCAAATCATAAGATGATTAACTATTGAGAGGTGATACTAAAGCAGAACTGGGCCTTAAAATTTGACTGTCTACACTGAGAATCTCAAGAGAAATTGGGCACAGGACAAAACTGGGAGCCCAAGACTTCTGAATTTAGCACTTGAGATATTCTGCAAGTTCACGTGCATCATGAAGACATATATTAATAAGAAATTAATCTATTATGTCAAAGTGCATTACCTCCACTGTCACTGAGTTTTGTTCACTTGTAAAACTACACTAGTCACTTTATACAGTTTTGGTCACAGCTACTGGGTATAGAGCTTTCCTAAAATGTACTGCTTCATTGCAAACCCTTTTTCTCTCTCTCTGTGGTTTCATAACTAATTTACTTACTGACCAAGACATTCCAGAGACTATCATTTTCTCCTAACTAGTCTCACTATCACCAACAGTTTTTGTGATAATGATTTGGTAATGTGTGACATTTCCCAATAATTCTATTTAACATGCAATAGATGAGGACCTGTGCTCCATGGGGTCGTTTTGTCACCCAAAATTTTCAAGTCTTTAAAAATTTTGTCATTGAAAGAAGTATTAAAAAACTCATTGTTTTAATTTAAAACAGTTTCATGGCCAGAGAATTAAATACAGGCTTTAAAAAGTCAAGACATCAGTTTAGCCTTCTGGATCTCTGAAGTCAGAGAAAAAAGATGACAATTAGACAAAGAATAGACAAGACAGAGATAGTAGTAGAGCATTATAATTATTAATATTTTTGAAAGGAAGTCCAAACATGAAAGAAATCAGAGGAGAAATGTGCAACACAGCTAGCTTTTATCTTTTATTTGCTATGAGAAACAGCCTCTAGAAAGAACTTGGAAAGATTCAGGCACAATAATAGTATGCTATTAATAAAAAATACAACAGCAAGATGAAGGAAAAATCAAGGGACAAAGAAAGGTACATGAAAAAAGAAGAAACAAAGGAGACAGAGAATGAAGCGAAGAAAAATAATTCATTGCAAAATTTCATTCCTATCCTTTTATTTTCCCCCATCCATCTTCCTTTGTTCTTTCTTTGTGGTATTTTAAGATATGAAGATTGAATTTCTCCTTCTGAACATTGACTAGCATGCTGTGATTGACATGTCATCTGACAAATGTTTTGCAAAAATTGAGCTATATATCATGTATAAATTGTTCTGCAGTTGGCTTCATAAAATTGCTGTGCTGCAGTTAAAAATCTTCTAGAAGCTACTCACAATGGTAGCATCAGTCCACAGATAAGAACTGAAATGTTTTTATTTTAGACTGGTTGATTCATCTTTCATAATTCTATGAACAAATCATTTGCAGTTGGGTTGTAATAGACTCTGGTGTCATTTTTATTTTTCTTAATACTTTTCTTAGTCCCAGGGAAACATATTAGATAACATCAATTCCAAACAGAACCAGTTTTATCTCCAGTATTAACTGCACTGAATTCACAGTAGTGTTCCATTGTTAAAAAAACAACCAAACAATAATGAAAATAAAAAAACAAGGAGTCAAAGCCCTCATTTAATAGCACTGAAGTTAAGATTTTGCCTTTAAAAAACACATATCAGGTTCATCACCTTCAAGAAACCAACCTTCTTATACACTTCTGTTTTATTGTTGAGTAAGTCACGGACTCATAGAATCATAGAATTGTTTAGGATACAAAGGTCCCCTAAGATTATTGAGTTCATCCATTAACACAGCACTGCCAGGTCCACCACTTTTGTCCCAAGTGCCTACATATCTACACATCTTTTAAATACCTCCAGGGATGGTGATCCAGCCCTCGCCCTGAGCACCTGTTCCAGTGCTTGACAATACTTTCAGGGAAAGAAATATTTTTTTAATATCCAACTTAAATCTCCCATTGCAACTTGACGCCTCTTGCTTTCATCACATTTTACCTGGCAAAAGAGACAAGAAAAGTCTATTTTTCATTATATCGACCAGCTCAATACCACAAGTGCAGAAATTCACATTTTCCCTTACCACAGTCTCAATTTCCTTGTACAAGTTTAGCACCATATATATTCACTGGCCACTTTCAAATAAATAAAGAAAATATTAAGCTGGAACTATAATTTCCTGGAATTTCCCCCTAAATAAAAAGACACTGAAAATCTATGGCAGATATAATTTTTATTGGATGTATAGATTGTAAAAGGATTCTCTAAAACTGCTCAGAGATCCTGTGGTCTCTGAAATGCTTGGGAAAAAAAAAAAAAACAACAACCCTTTAGCTCAAAATAGGAGAGATTGGTTACACTGACACAATGAGTTTGAAGTCATATGAAGCTGCAACCTAAAAATCTAAGCCTTCTGGAATTACACTATCAGAACAGAGGATTTTTTCTATTTTATTTTCTCAAGTATCTTAACATTTTTTTTGCCTATTTAAATCATGCCTTTTGGAAAGCATGTGTGATAATGCAAGGAAAGTCTCTTACTTGTGCTGATATATGAAACTTGGGATTAAAAAGGCAAAAATAAAATCCGGAATATGAAGAGAAAGTTAGCTTACATAACTCAATTTATACTCCAAATAAGCGAGGGTCACATAATATTTTGCTTATTTTGCTTAGTATTTTGTATATTTTGCTTTCTTCTCTAGGTAAAAATACTATATATATTCATTTCTGACAATGAAAATGTAAACATTTTGAAAAATTATATTATTTGAAAAAAATGTTTCACTCATCTTTCTCTTTTTCCCATTCTTTGTTTTTTCCTTATCTGAAAGTGCCCAACAGGGAATGAAGATAGAACTCACGGATGTCTAACTGCCTGAATGCCATCAGGATAAACAGAAGTAAAAGATGGCATTATTTCCTAACTATAGCTGTATGTATGCAGGCATCAGATGTCTTAGGTTTTACCCCCCATTAAATGGAATTGTGTAGCACATGAAAATTTTTTACATCAAAAAAATCTTTGAACTGCAGTAACATGGATGCAAATATTACGTGCACATAGACAGATACTAGCAATAATTTTAAAATATTCTAATTGTTTCCCATTATACTTGAGATTTTCTTTAAAAACATTCTAACAAGTATTTAATTTATATTAGTTGTGGGTTGGGCAGTTTTGACTGATTTTTGATGTATTCCTTAAAAGTGTTTCTCTTTATACTAGGTCTATAAAGCAGTTTATAATTCTTTAAATATTATTAGCCTGACACCAAGATTAAACTTTGGAAGAATCTAAATGTCCTTGAAAATTGCCACCTAATGTCATAAAATCATAATATATGCTGAATTGGAAGGGATTCATCATGATCATCAAGTCCAACTTCTGGACCTGCTCAGGACACCCCAAGAATCACAACATGTGCCTGAGAGGGGTGTCCAAACTCTTCTTGGACTCTGACAGGCTTAGTGCTCTGAAGTCAGATGCCAATTTTGCAACCAGTTGCATTTTCTGTAAGTTTGGGCCTTAACTTTACTTAGGAACCCTACGACACTTGGGGTTATTCATAATATGCATTCAGATTTGCTAGTCCCATCGTTTCTTCTCTGGTGTACTCTTGGAAAAGAACAGGTGATCGCATTCAAGTGCTGCAATCTAACTCTTGCACTCTGAGTGCCCCATTGTGGATAACAATAACAGTTCAGAAGGGGGTTCTTTTTTGCTCTTCAGGATCCTTTTGATTAGACTGAAATTGCTAGTGCATAATTTAGTTCTGGTGAATGGTGAAGAGAGTATCTTTTGAAAATGAAAGAGAAAGAGAAAAACACTGATTTTCACAGGAGTGTATTAAGGATTTAAGCATACATACCTAGATTCTGATTTTGAAGTACATTGATTGTTTTTTTCTTTTGTTGAGCATACTCAGCTTCTAGTAAAATTCAGCTAAGTCTGCAGATTGTAGCACATAAAGGTGATTTTTGGCAGGTTTTCCTTTATGAAGATCTGGAATATATAAATAATATAGAGTCATTAAAAAAGTAATAATTGTTTTGATTTCACAGCTATCTAAAATGAATTATGTTGAAAAATATTTAAAGATTACAAAGATTAAATAAAAATGTGACTTATTATGAGCTTACCATGAAGAATGCTTTCTTTTGTTCTCAAAAGAAAAAAAGAGTTCAAATTAAGCATAAAAGTTTCAAAAAAATTTTATTTAAAAAGTTACAATAAAAGTATTATTAAAAGTTTAAATAAAAGTTAATTAAGACCTAAAATTTTTAATAATTAAATTTTATGCAAAGAGTTCCATTCCTGTAAAAATTTGTGCTCTGTCTTGGAGGGCCTTTCTGGGACAGAGACAGTATACCAAACCACTGCCAAACTCTGCACTCCATATTTCTAAATATTTTCTAAAAGTATGGCAGTTGAATATTTTAAACAGGAAAGAGACAGTGAAAAGGGATGTTATTTCCTTCTAGAGCTCTCTGAGAAATGTCTCTGGAATTGAGTCTCAACATAAACACAGAAAGAGGACATAAAACCTGAACCTTAAAATTTTAATAAATGTGTGATTAATTTGATTACTGATGATGGATTGACCTTGATTTCCTGTTGTAATTTCACCACTCCAGATTTATAAAGGAAAACAGCCTTTTGTTCCAGGGATCAAAATTCACTCACTGTGCTGCTGCTTTTAAAGAGCAATTGAAGCTGTCAGCTGCAATTGGCAAAGGAGAAAATAAATAATGAGTCCTTGAATTGGGTATGATTCACTGCTATGGGAGACTTGAAATGCTACAGAGTCTGCCTCCTAGTAGTAAAGCCTTAAACAGGGCTTTGCAATGCTGTCTGTATTCCTAAAAGTCGGTTTCTACAGTACAGTTTTGAAGTGTTACCATGCAAAACGACTATTCTTTACAGAGTGTCTTTGCAAGCATCTCATTGCACCTGCATTAACCAGACATGACACAACAGCCATGGAGTCATAGAATGGCTTGAGTTGGAAGGAACCTTAAAGAGCACCCCTAGATCCAACCCCTCTACAATGGGCAGGGACACCTTGCACTAGACCCCACTGATCAGTGAGCTGCATCCCAATGACACGATGTGGTGTGTGATCAGAGGGCAAATGACATGAGGCATTTACAATTCCCACATCCTGTGGTGCTGAACCTCAGAGAATAAATACATCTGCCTGACCACAAAGTCAAAGTCTAAACCCCAGGGACTGGGGCTGATATTATGGTGTGTGCTTCCATGTACAACGTTGCCTCATGAGGTCCTCGACTTCTGTATGCAATACTTCAGTTTACAGGGGTGTTTAGAAATACGGGAAATAAGTACAACAATTGCAATTTTACATAAACATGAAGGCCACTGAAAAAGCATTTTAACTGCAGAAGAATAATAAGAGAACCCTTGGAAAAAGTAGTGTTATTTAAAAGTTTTTATGTGAAGATGGCAGGCATCCTTTCATGTAAAATTAATGTCTTTTTTAAGGACAGTTTTGATTGCTCTGTGGCAAAAAAATCTGCTGTTATTAATTAAATTAATTAAAAATTTGAAATAATGAAAAAAAAATCCAGCTTATCTATCACTATTTGTATAGTTAGAGCAAGGTGCAACCTTTGTGATTTGCAGCACAAAAACTTTTCTGACAATTGTCCTATTTGTCTTTTTGAAAAGAGCAAAACTATTAGACTGGAAGATTTAGAGTAGAAGTCTTAAAAATGCACCTAGAAGCTTATGTAGCAAAAAAGTTAAGAACTTATTTTAAAGTTATTAAAAACTTCATTTGAATAGCTAGAAGCTTCTTTCCAAGCTTGTTAAAAGACATTCAGAATTTGTGTCTTTGTTCCCACCAAGCCTTGAAGGCTTAGAATTTAATTTAAAATAGTAAAGTTTTATTTTCTCAAGCTCAGAGGCTCCTTAAAGCCTAAGTCATTCATAGGACAATCAAATTCTCTTCTATATGACGTGACATAATCACTTTTAAGAAAATTTAAAATGATGCCATGAACTGTACTAAGTCTTCTGGCCTTCATCAACCCTTGCAGTAATTATCTGTCCCAGAAAAAGGCTTTTGGAGACATGAATTGGTTATAAATCACTGAAAGCATTCTTGTTGTACTTTTTAATTAGCTGATTTGCAGCACTTATTAAAAGATAACTTTACTTTGTGGCTCCTGTCTGTCTGAAATAAATTTGATTAGACAAAGACTTTTTGACACCTAAGAAGAGTTGTTTTCAATCACTTTTATGTAAAATAATTGCTCTTTGACATTGCAGTTTAATGCATAGTGTCAGTTGTGCCAGAAAAAAAACAACTGAAAACCAAAACCAAACCTCAAAAGCCCCAAACTCAGAGTTCAGGGCTTCACTACAGGTTTTATACACAACCTGTTTTGATTCTGGATTACATTGTAGGTTCAAGACGTTGAAACATCCTTTGTTAGCATGCCAGTGTATATAAACCTGAGTTTATTAAAAATTTTCCTACTTAATACTGACATTTTCAACTAACATTAACTTTGCTGTTAAAAAGCTGTTTATATGAAATCCAGAGTAAATGTGACACTAATAAAACCTGCTCTGTAATATACTGAATCTTTAAGTCTGTTGTTTGTAAAGCAAAACTATCATTAGGATACAGCAAGGAAGAGTGCTTCATGCTGAAGATCTTTTATGATGATACATCAAAGAAACTGCCTGATAAATCTGATTCTTAGATGATAGGTACGGAAATCTTGCCAGAGTGTTGGGTTATTTGGTATACCTTGACTAGACAATGATGTGATATGAAATTTAAAACTACTCAATAGGTGATATAATTGGGTCTTTTTTGTTTATGAAATAAAAACTATTTGATAGTAGATTTTTTTTTTCCTACTTTTCATTATCATTAATTCAACCAGCTCAGTTTTATATCGGAAGAATGTTTTGAGAGGCAATGTTTTCCTAAATTCTGTGGGTTCAATATTTAAAGTACCACATGGACTGGGTTAAGAAAACCTTCTGAATATATTAGTGAAGGCAAGGACATCTGAGATTAAGTATACCACAAATAGAGAGGTTTTGTTACAAAGTTTGGAGCCAGTATCATATGATATATTTCATATTAATAGTAAATCCATGCTAATACAGCAGTCGCTACAGAGAGCTTAAGAAACAATAGCAGTAGAAAATGTAAAGAAAATGTAAGTGTGGGGGTTTTTTTGTTTGATTGTTGTATTGGTTTTTTTGTTTTGTTCTTGTTTTTTGGTGGGTTTTTTTGACACCTTTAATATCATTTCTTAGGGACTTCATTTTCCTGATATTTTGTAGGAAGAAAATAGAAGATGCTTAGGAAACTGACCAATTATAGACTCAAAAATGATGGTATGAATTATGATTGTCTCTCCAGGAAAGAAACAGTGCCTCTCTGTTCCTCTTCAAAAGTTTGTGGCTCAGCTGATGCAATATAAGTTTGCATTATGATATAAGAATCTCTTTCTTAATGACACTGTTTTACTCTTCCTGTATAAATTCCATTGTTGTAGTAGCTCATATACATCTATCATACATGGAATTTATGTCACTCATATGCTTGGAATGTGGTTGGAAACAACTGCAAACTCACAAAGGCATTCACCATCTAGTTCTCTCAAACAGATTCACGTGCTATTACATACATTTTAGTTCTCTGCATATTTTAGAATAGAAATTGGAATTTAGACTCTAACTGAATGACTGTGTTACTATTTTCAAATTTATATTTCTTTCTCCATATCCTCTTCTTGCCCCAAAATTCTGTACACACCTGTCCACCAAGTGGCAAAGTTTCAACAGTTTCAGTGCCATCCTCCTGACCTATTTTTCCAGCCATACATTAATATAAATAAATTACTTATATTCTAATGTAAAGGAAAAATCAATAAAGTGTCATCTGAGGATTACAGACCTGTGGGAAAAGATGTCTCTTATCAATCCAGAATTACTATTCAGAGCTCTGGAGAAGCTGAGATACCAGGAAAAGTTTTTGCATGTCTTCTGAGGCGAATAGTAACCTTCTCACTATGTTAAATTACAAGTTGCTGCTGGTGTTATGTGATGAGCTTAGACATCCAGCCCTTGGGTGCAGATTCTGCTCAGAGTAGAGGCTCTTCAGGAGCACCACCAGCATGCCCAGCTTCCATCTGATGATGTGATGTGTGCTGTAGATTCTCTGCATTCTGTCATCTTCCCCTGTTGATTCCCAATTATACCAGATTTTCAGTGTAGCCAGAAATGTAGGACTGTTCAAGCATTGCTTTGATGAGGATTGTACGGACTGTGTTTCCTCCAATTTAGATAGGATGGAATTGGGTGTGAATTTCAGCAAATTTTCTGTGGCCTTAATCACTAACTTTATTTTATTATTAGAAATTAGGAAAGAAAGGAAGAAAGAGGGATAATTAGATTTCTCCCTGCTTCAGGCTCCATCAAAGATACATTAAAAATCAAGCTACAAAGAGATATCTAACAGAACTTTTTAAAGATAGAAAACTAGTTAAACAAAATGGATAAATACTTCCAACTTTTCCTAACAGATAAAGCCTACACTGAGTGCTTTGAATTAATGTAAAAATGTTTTACATAAAAAAATGAAACATAATATGAAGATCTAAGAATATGTTACTGCACTTATCTATGTAAATTGCTTAACATCTTTCCTCTCTTGTACAAGACTTTACAAAATTTCTGATTTCACTGTATCTTCTTTTCTGTCAATTCTGTCCTTTTTGTGCCTTTTATTTGTACTTCCCTAACCTACAAATAATGGTAAATGCATGCAGCAGTCCCAGCCCAGTTGCTCTCCCACTCCATTAACCTATAGAGAACTTGGCTGTGTAGCAGTTGTTCATCCAAGTGAATCATCCTCATAATTACGTATGTTGCAATTGTCATTAGGTGATCACAGCAAAATGCTAATTCAGAGGAACAGTTTGGTGGAACTAGTTTTATCCCAGTCTTGGACTCTTTGAAGCAGAGCTGTCATACAGTTTCATGGCATTTGTATATTTTCTTTCTACCGTTAGAAAACAACCTCATCAATTTAGATCAGGTTTTAATCTCAGTCATGAAGACACTCAAGGCCAAGTACACTTGGCTGCACTCCCTGCACCTGAGGGGATACAGCTGAAGGACCTGCTGGATCACCAAGACTGTCACATCTCATTGTTTGGACGTGATTGACTGATGCAGTACCACACAATGCTTTAATGAAAAACTCCAAATCATGCTTTTCCTTAAGCAAATGCATTAATTTTTTAAAAGATTATCTTAAGCTTTCTTTTCCTTTTTGTCTTGTTTAGGGAAAGAGAAAATAACAAATGAAGAGGCATCCATTCTACATAAGAATTTTGATGTAAGGGAATAACCAAGCATTAAAAATGTCTATCATTTGCAGCAATGATGCTATCTGCTACTCATTTTACAATTTATTCCAAAGAAAGAGAGGTTCTCATTCAGATCCTAAACACATTTTTCACTGTGCTTAACTGTTAGATTTGAAGAGGCTGAAGAGAAATTATTATTAGTGTCAGATACAAGTAGCACTGCTGATTTCTGAAACAGTCTATGTGATTGTATTATTCTGTGATTCACTCTAGTTTTGCTGGGAGACTGTAACTCATACTGTATATGAACTTTATGCTTAGCCTTTGAGACAAATCTTCTAACTTTACCTCATTTTTGCACTTAATATAGTTTGCCTTAGGATAAAAAAAAAAAAATCCATAAGATTTCATTATTTAGGGTGCCCTGGCACGCTGCTTAACAGAAACTAGTCCCTGGGATGGAGGGAGGTTTTAAAAAAATGTAAGAACTTGTGCCATAGATTTTTATCTTACATCTTAGCTTGGATTTTGTCTTCTCTTGTCTAACTTCGTGAGATTTCAGTGCACATCAAGGTTGTGGGAAAAACCCCAAAGTTTTCATTGAAGGAAATTCAGAAGGTCCATTTTTTTACTTTATACCTGTTTAAGGTATTATTTTACTCTCATGCTGTATCAGAATAGAAAACTGTAGAATAAATAAGGAACTTATAATAGTGCATATTTAAAAGTGACAATTGTCATCTTTAATAGTGATCAAAAATAATTTGTTCTTTGAAGACTAACCTAAATTTCAAAACATTCAGTTGCAGTCACTCTGATCGACAGTTCTTCTGTTTTAGTCATTATTCTGATGATGTAAGAGCTGGAGGGTGCATCAAAGTGGAAGATTCAACTAAATGCAACATTGTCATATTTGCCACATATGCATGTTTTAAACTAAGATGAATTTTAATCTATATCATGGAACCATAAAATCATAGAATGACTTGACTTGGGTTGAAAAAAGACCTTAAAGATGTAGTTTTAACCCCCTTTCAATGGACAGGGTCACCTTTCACTTGACCAGGTTGGTCAGAGCCCCATCCAACCTGGTCTTGAACACTTCCAGGGATGAGGCATACACAACTTCTCCAGCAACCTTTTCCAGTGCCTCATCATCCTGAAAGAATTTTCCCCTAATATCTAACCTATATATACTCTCTTTCAGTCTGAATCAATTCCCTTTGTCCTGTCACTACATGCCCTTGTAAACTGTCTCTCTCCATCATTCTTGTAGGCTGTTCTCAGGTACTGGATCAGCTGAACAATCCCAATTCTTCTAAAGATAACTTGGAGAAAAAGAAAAAAAATCACACTATTGAGTGTGGTTATCCGCTCAACTGGAAATTTGATTACAAATTTCCAGTTTCAGCTTTTCATTGGGTCTGGCCAAAATTTTTAAGTTTTATAATCACATAAGTAAAAGGAAGATGTGACCCATATTATCATGTTCTTCAGAGACCTCATTGCAAAGAAGGTAGAAAAATGTTAATAACTCTTTTCCATGCAAAATTTATGTCTTACGAGAAAAATTGCATTTTGTTTTCTCTTGCCATCTCACAGAAACAAAGGTTCATGCACATTTTAAAACCTATAATGCATTTTCTATTTAAAATGCAGTCATTATAATGACAACATGTCACAGATGGCAGATGGTAAAAGGGACAGTTTTGCAAAAGTATATTCCTAAACTACATTTATGCATACTGACAAATAAATAGAATCACAAGGTCAGTTTGTATATTCCCTGTTCACATTTATGAACACTCACAGACATGGGAAACACCATTACAGTCAATGAGATAATTCTTCTGGATAGCTCTCAGCATCTGCAAAAGGTAAATCACCTGATAGAAATCATTTTATAAATGATTTGACAAAGATAAAACAAGGACTACAAAGGTACAAAATTTACAGTAAATAATTTAATAAGTCTCACTTTTGGGGAAGTCATATTTTATTAAAAATGAAACAGGGTTATTGCTGGGATAAATAAATAATAGCAAAGGACAAAAAGTCACATTTGAAGGAGGACATAAATCCACATATCATAGTGAACCAATTGATCTGTCACTGAATAATGTCCATCTAAGCAAACTCATTGATACTGGGGGAAACTGCTCTTGTCATATGCTAATTATATTTTTATCAGAGTACTCAAGAAACCTGTGCAAGAAATCTTCTCTTTTTATGCATCTCTATACTCTCAGAGACCTCTGTAGATCATATTAATCCCCCACTCTCCCTCCAGCAGGTTCACCTGGAGTGGGATGTTCAGGACCACATCCAAGCAGGTTTTGAATATGTCCAAAGAAGGAGATTCTACAGCCTCTCTCAGCAGCCTGTTCCAGTGCTTTGGAATGCTCAAAATATTAGAGAAGCTTTTCACTACATTCTAATGGAACTTCCTGTGTTTCAGTTTGTGCCCATATTGCCCCTTGTACTGTCACTGGACACCACTGAAAAGAGCCTGGCTCCATCTTCTTGAAACCTGCCTTTAGGATATTTTTATGCTTTGATCCCCTCTCAGTCATCTTTTCCCAAGGAAAAGAGGCCCAACTCTCTCAGCCCCTTATCTTCTCATAACAGTAAATAAAGTAGAGATTATACTTTTGCATTAAAATATCTGATTTTAAAATGACATTAATATATACAGCTTCACTCTGTCAACAAAAATGCCTAAAATTTACAAAAAATATGTCTTCAGGAAGTCATATAAGCAAAAATAATTCAATATTTTAATATGTTCACATTTCAAACAAATTTTTTTAGGTTTTTCCCATACATTCTGCACTTTGTTTAATTGCAAACAATTTTATACATATATATAAATGTTTTGTTTTCTGAGCGTGATATTCTGAAGTCATGATGATTGACCAATATCTGAAGTTTATGTTCAGACAGAATTTGACCTTACCTCAGACTCAGAACACGTTATGCAGGTCTGCTGGATCAGTGGCTCACTGTTGCTTCCTCTTCTATTTTGATCACAGCAACTCTTGCATTATATAAAATTTTATTTCCTTATTTTAGTTTTTACTGGGAACTTTCAATGATATTGACTCTTACTAAAATTCAGGATTGGTTCTCTCTCTCTTCAGTAAAGGTTTAGTAAATTTTTATTTTGTTGAAACTACTGTATTCTTTACAGAAAATGTAGGGAAAACTTACACAGTGAGAGAACTTTCATAAAGACCATCTTAAAATATCTGAAGAAAGAAAAACAACCACAGGTATCAGATTTATATTTGGATCTGCTATCTTCAGTTTAGCTTCTCCTACAAAGCTGAAAAAAAATCTTATAATCATGGTTGTTTTTTAGTCTGGACTGCTGAACTCTTCAGAAGCAGAACATCTCTTCCCCAGGAGAACAGAAAATGCCCAGGGAATTCAGCCATCTCTACACGGAACTATGAGAACTGAGGGCTCAGGCCTTTCATGGAGACTGTAAATATGCCTGCTTTTCATTTGAAATGACTGTGAAGCCAAGTTTTAAAAAAGTATTAAACCTCTTTATGAAATAAAAATTCCACATTTTTTTCGGATACCACTCTGTCTCTCACCCACCCCTAAAGAACATAGATAATTATTGCTGCAGGGTGAGAAAGCAGAAAGAAAGTGAAGGTTGTTAATGGTTTCTATTTTTACACAGATATAAATGATGTTACCCAGTGGGACCATATAAGAATCTAGGTGGATAGACATCAGCAATCATGTTACACAACTAGAAGGAATAAGATTATATCCAATGAAAATTATGAGAATATTTTATCTATAAAATAATCTTTTGAAACTGATTATTGCACAGTAATAATAGAAGTACACAATAAAAATAGAGGGAGAAGAGGGAATATAGGGATCAAGTTTTTCCACAACAGACAAGCCAAGTAGGAATAGATAACATTAACTTTCAAGAAACTACCATTCTATTCCTGAAAAGCCATTAAAATATTGTCCCAAA